CCAATTTCTGTAAACAACTCTCATTGAATGGATTTTGGCCGGAGGATTTTTTTATTTTGAAGCTTGACAAATCTTTCACCCTTACTAAATATTCATATTTCTCTCTTCATCCTCCAGAGTTGCCCAGAAGCGAGAGGATGCCGTCTCCAAGGAGGTGACGAGGAAGTTGTCCGAGGCAGACAACCGCAAGATGTCCCGCAAGGAGAAAGACGAGAGGTGAGACATGCATCATCTTGTGAAGCCAAACCTCACACACACTGAGTTGTGCTGGACGTTTGACTCTTTGACTATTCAAAGTGTTTTCAAGGAGCTGCGCACAGCATGTAGTCTCGTGAAAAACATGAGCACTTTAATAAAACGTTATAACAGATTTAACTTCGTAGACATAGCCTCTCCACATGTTTAGTTCCTCTGATACAGATTTAAAGTCTATTGTTTTAGGCTGTTTCACAAGTCAATGAATTTAATGGACCCTCATACGGTTCATTTGGGCAGTTGTTAACGCAGTAATCGTACTCTGGGTCAGACATAACTAAAACAGTTCTGTACCCTCGTGCCATTAAATTGCAGTGAGAACAAAATCGAACCCTATTGTAGAAATTGAACCAAAACACATAATGGGCTGCATGCAGGGTATTTGTCAGGGTGGGTTAACATGAGTGGGAGAGGACAGACTAAATAAACTGGAGGAGAAGGTACTTTGCTCCATTTTGGATTTCTATTTACATTTTCCACCAGCAAATTTCTAACCAATAAGAAAGAGGCAAATTGACTTCCAGCCATGCTCCCTCTTACTCTGAGCACTGTCAAACTGAACCACATTAAATAAGAAACAAACCTTAAATGTCGCTTTGATTCACACTAGCCATATGGACTGGGGCTGACGGTACTTTTATTTTTACTTGACCGTGAACGTTTTTTTTCTTGTTTTTCCCAGGATCCTGTGGAAGAAGAACGAAGTCGCCGACTACGAGGCCACCACCTTCTCCATCTTCTACAACAACACCCTCTTCCTGTTGCTCGTCATCGTCGCCTCCTTCTTCCTGCTCAGGAACTTCAACCCCACCGTGTATCCTTTCAATCACTGTGTAATATCATAATTGCAGATTGGCAGTTTTAGTTCAACTGCGTTATAAGTCATCTAATGTTTGTTTGTTTGTATATATATATATATATAAGCTGGATTTAACATTTCATCATCACTCTGTCCATGATTGTTTTGACCTTAACTCCACATCTCTCCAGGAACTACATCCTGTCCATCAGTGCTTCCTCAGGACTGATCGCTCTGCTGTCCACTGGCTCCAAGTAAAGGAAGAACAAATCATGGAATAAAAGCTGGAGGGGTGGGATTGGGTTAGGAAGTGGGTATACAATATTTTGTTTTTCACTTAAGTTAGGAATGGGGTTTGAGGGACCGAAATATCACATTTCAACTTCATGAAATTCATGATCAAATGTCTGGAGGTGCTTCTCCAGGTCTGTTTTTTTTGTAACAAATAAAGACACCAGGTATACTTTCCTCTGTGTTAATCTCATATATGTGTGTGTATGCCATTCAAAACCATTTGAGGATATAAAGGGAACAGAATCCAAAACATATTTTACATATAGTGCTGTTTAAGTAAAAATATTTAGTGTCATTTTGGGTTGAGAGGTTCTTTTAATACGGTTTGAGACAAAAGTGAGACACTGCTGTTTCCATTGGCAATGCATTTATTTATAATCACACTTTCATATAGACTATTTACAGAGAAAACACTGTTCAGGAGAGAAACACTGATGGTTTGCAAGTCAGTTCAACATACAAATAATGTTAAGTCGTTCCCATCCGCAAGGTGCAGTTGTTCTTTGTTGTGTTAAAGTAGAAAATATAGCCATATATTGTTTAGATTTGTAGCTTAGTTCCATGTTGGCCTACATAGTAAAAATGTTTAACAAGTTATGATTTTCTAGAGCTGTAACAATTCAACTAATAAGCAGAAAAAATACCACATCAAAGGGATTCATTTAAAAAAAAAAAAAACACCATCAGAAATTGTTTCAAAAATGTTCTCGACACTGATCAATCAATAAGTTATCTTATTTGCTGCTTTACTATTTTTTCAGACAACACTGACCAATTTAGGAAAGTACCCTTACAATACCACTGTGTTAATGCATTACAATTCATTTGATTGGTAACGATATGAATTTGGTCTCCTAGGGGGGATATAACTGAAAGCTGTAACCTGACTGTTCCTATAAAATGTGTTGTTCTTAAATGACGGCCAGAATGGAGCAAAGTTAATGGTGTGCACTCAAAAAAAAAAACTGAAGGGTCAGACTGAGAAGACAAGGGTGCTAATTCCTGTTTTGTATACTTCATTTTAGGTACATTTCTTAAATATGTTTTATTTAGTACGTCGCCATGTAATAATCTTGATATAATCCCTTACATGTAAATTGTAGAATCAGCATACATATCGTTTTATTCTCTCTTTGTTTGCAGGACAGCATCCAAACACCATTTAACAACTTGCAATGAAAGACATCCCTGATTGTTCAAGGCACTCTTATCGGGTGGAGAAGTCTCCACACATGTACGGTCACTGGACAGAGGCAGCTTGTTGACTTGCAACAATTAAAAGTGCACATTAGTACAAATTACATATTTTACCACCAGAAGTTATGCCATGTTACCAATTATAGTGTTTATATATAGACCACATTTTAAAAAGTAGAGTCAAATAGGTATAAGTACAGCCGTAACTGCCTTTTCGGTGTCAGTAAATTGTGCCAGATTAAGTAAATTAGTAAAGTAAACTGTGAGCCAAACTCTGCTTTTTTATGCTTTTTTCCATATGCATCATTTCTGGTTAAAGTCAACATGGGGTGAAATGTCCTTTGATTATAATTTGAAGGGTGTTAGTGCTACAAGTCAACAAATGCACATCGAGGACAAGAAAAGTGACTCAACGGAAACTTGGTTAACATTTCTGCTCTCTGTGATGGCTTGTTTTCCAGATGAAAAAGAAATAGCGAGAAGAAGGCAACACGACCTGAGCCACCTGCTCAGAGATAAGGATGGTGCGCCTTCTTTAAATAATGCCACTGTTTGTACTGATTTCCTTGTCTGACAATGCAAGAAACAAAAAAAAACCTTTAATCCTTATAAATACTATAAATAATGTTCACAAACCAGGAAATGAATGCTGTGTAAAGTGAGGCTGGAGGAGGAAGGTATGAAGAGAACGCTGTCGCAGTAATCCTACTGAGGAGCAACAAAATAACTCTATTTACATCTTATTTATATATTATATATCATCCATACAGTACTGTGAAGTCCTCATCTGCACGGAGGCTTCTTCATGGTTTCGCTTATGATACAAGGTATGCATTTGTACACGTAAAACCCCCATAATTCGCTAAACAAAATGTCAAAATAAAGTTCTATGATTCATCTACTCGACAATAAATACTGTCATATCTTTTTTTGCCACATCCCCTATACGTCTTTTGTGCCATAAACAAGCGATATTTTGCCGTTATCATAACCAATATCAGTCAGGATGTAGTCATCCTTTTATTACATAGATGTATTATATTCCTTTTCTGCAGGGTTCATTCAGCAGTTCAGGTCACAGAAGAGGAGATACATGTCTCCGTAATGAAAGCAAACTGAGAGAAAAGTAGTCCACGTCTTTTGCAAAATAAATTGCGTAATTTCTCTCTTCTATAATCTACTGAAGCAGAGCAGCAGTTCATGGAAAAGACCACACGGGGGCGACATGCTTCACTCTCTCCCATAACACCAATGTCCCACAATCCTTTGCTTCACAGACAAGCCTGCAGCATTTCTGATCAAACTCCTTTCTCATGTGCTTGGTATAAAAGTAAACAGAGGCACACTGTCGCAGGAGGAACATGCACCTGCTGGTTAACAACACTCAGGATTTGCAGCCTATAACATATCTACTGAATACTATCTGTGCTATACTGAATACAGGACTGAGTACATTTGGTAGAAGGTCATTCAAGCCAGTAGTTTTGTTGAGGCCTCATCCAAAAAAGTCAAGAGCATTGTCATTGCTAAAGCTCATGAGAAAAACATTTTGTCTCACGACTCAAGCGCGCACCTCTGACACGAGAGGTGAACAGTATTGAGCTCGTATGGTAATGTTTCTGCTGCGCTGCATAACAATTGAATGAAAGCGCTGACTAACTGACCGGGGTGTTCATACATCTGAGGCTCCTTCATGTCTACTTTGCTAAGATACCTCTAATTTATAATAATGAGGTGCTTTTATTTATGTTTTCAGCTTGTGGTAGGGCGGTTTCTTAACTTAAATTAAATTACTTGTGGGTAGGAGAGGACGAGTAATTGGGAGGGTGTGTTTTGGAGAAGCAGCATATCATAAAAAAATGACTATCAAAGTGCTCTTGAACAAGGCACTATTACTTAATACTTAAAGGGGACCTATCATGCAAAATGCACTTTTGTACGTCTTTTATACATGAATATGTGTCCCCGGTGTTCCAGGGAACTCACCAAGTGTCAGAAAACACAACCCTCTCTATTTTCCTCCATACCCAAATCTCTAAAAAAGGGGCTGCAACGGATCTGATACAAACTGATCCAGATTTGAACACTGTCCTGACGTCAGGACGGTGGCGCTACGGCTATTGGGCCAACTCCACCAATCAGGAGGAGACAGCCACGGCCATTGCCGTTCGAAAGCGCTGGAGACGCTGTAGTACATATGCCAGGCCTGTAGATGGTGCTGTTGCTCACAGAATCAACCCTTGCAAAAACAGAGCTAACATTTTTCAAATTGAGCGAAATAAGGCATGGCTAAAATGCATGATCTGTTCGGTATTTTGAAAAAAAAAAAGTATAAATATTCCTTATATAGGTATGGTCCTACACTATATTATTCAAATATAGCATGATAGGTCCACTTTAACTCTTTCAATACTATACGGCCAAAATCCCAATTTGTAATACTTTATGGATCAAATCCCAACTGTACATGCCAATCACAAGTTATTGAGAGCTCTTCTGAGCGGAAAAATACATTTCTAAATGAATAAACTGAAGGGTAACGCTTGAAATAAATTAGCATTGGTAAGACTAAGCTCTGCATAGTTATTTTTGAATGGACAGGTGCTGAAAGGGTTTCTTGGGGAGTTTTGAGGCTGCAAAGAAGCTGAGGTTGTGAAGCGTCTCTTGGCTCAGCTGACCTGAGAGGATCTGAGCGGGACGAGGCTTCCAGTTCCAGCTGAAGTGGGCTGAAGTGGGCTGAAGTGGGCTAGAGCCGAGTCGGGCCCAAAGGAGAAAACTGTGAACATTGAACAGCGGTGGGTCCATGGTAACAGAATGATGACGTAGGTAGGAGAGGACGGGAGGCTGGTCTAAGAGCGGTAATCCTTCTTACTGTATGGCCTGTTGCCCAGGATGTGGTCGATTTCTGACACCACATGAGACGTCATCTTAGGAAGGACCTGCCAAACAGATAAAGAAGTTGTATTTAAAGAGGACATGTTATAACTATTTTCAGATTCATATTAGTATTTAGTTCCTCTACTACTGTGACATGTCTCCATTCTTTAATGTTCAAAAAGCTCTTTATTTTTCTCATACTGCCTGTGCTGCAGCACCTCTTTTCACCCTCTGTCTGAAACCAGAGCCCAGTCTGCTCTGATTGGTTAGCTGGCCGGCTCTGTTGTGATTGGTCTACCACTTAGAGATGCCCCGCCCTTAACCTATCACGTACACTGTGTTGGAATGCCAGCCAATAGAAGCGTGACTGTTCCATAGTGATGTCACTATGTTCCAGAAGTAAACAAAGGAGTCCAATGGAGGCGTTTCAGGCAGGGGGGTTGGAGTGTGTGGGAGAGAAACTCCCTTTGCAGACCATTTACATGCACTAAAACCTATATAACACACTACAGGAAAGGTAAGTAGGACTCCTTTAATATGCCTTAAAGGAAGGAATTGAGACATGCATTGAACCCTGGAGAGATTTGGATATGGGGAAGCGTATTGATCTATAAATCAATATTAGCTCGAGGGTAGTGGGAGATGCAGCTGAAAAAACTGTGTGTGTGTGTGTGTGTGTGTGTGTGTGTGTGTGTGTGTGTGTGTGTGTGTGTGTGTGTGTGTGTGTGTGTGTGTGTGTGTGTGTGTGTGTGTGTGTGTGTGTGTGTGTGTGTGTGTGTGTTCCCACCTGTATGGCTCCAAGGTTTTCAGTGAGCTGTTCAGGGCTGGATGTTCCCAGGAGAACTGAGCTCACCCCTTCATTTCTTAGACACCACGCTGCAGAGAGAGAGAAGATGATATTCACAAAGCGGCCACTTGATGGCGCACTGCTGCTTATTATTCATACCTAGTTACATTCATAAATGACTGGTTTTACAGAACAAAGTGATACATGCCATACAGGCTTGGGGAGCAACAAAACAACCTGTATTCCCTTACAGTTACATACAACAAGATGTGAACAGATTAATGGTACATTTTTAACAGTTGGGGATTACTAGAGAGATAACAATGTTATTAAAACATTCAGAAAGAGGGTATTGGCTGAAGTCTTACCCACAGCCAGCTGAGGCAGTGTGCACACCATCTTCTCTGCGATGTGGTTCAGCTCTTTCAGCTTGGCTTGTTGCTTCCTTCCATCTTCACTCACTATTTTCTCCTTCAACCACTGATACGACTGCAGGAGGACGGAGAGGAGAGACATGGGAGCGAAGAAGGAACAAAACAGACAAAGACACACAAAGCAGAGGATGGAGATAATGAAAGACAGAACGGGGTATTTTTGCCACTTTTGGACAGAGCAAGGCTAGCTGATTTAGGACAGGTTTACTTTGAGAGATAGTTTTAATTGAATATATAAGTATTAGAGAGGAACATTTTAAATTATTGTGTGTTGTTTTGAACAAAAATCTATGTCAATGTTGTCAAAATGCGTTTTTCTTAAAAAAATCTGCAATTTACTTTTGAATTAAGAAGAGTTATTTTTTCCGCTGCATTTGCAGATTGTTTACTGTTTATATAGCTGGTGTGGCTGATGAAGCTAGCATTAGCATGTAGCAAGTTAGGTTGAGGAGAATTGAGGAACGTTACTGAGCTGTCTGCACACCAGAGAGTGAAAAACAGCTCAAACTATTCCAGAAACACTGTCTGATGTAAGTAAGTAAGTAAAGTTTATTTATAAAGCGCTTTTCACAGACAAAGTCACAAAGTTCTTGACAAAACAATAAGACATCCACATCGGAGGCGTACAATGATCAATGAACCCACATGTTAAGAAGTCATAAAAGCACCAGAGCATTGTGGCTTTATCTGACAGCCCTGTATGTAGCAGGCAGAACAACTTAAACTTAAAGACTCAAGTTACCCAATGTGCCCGATATATCAATCAGTGTTGGGGCTCTCCAGGTTATAAAACACTCTGTACCAGGACTAGTATCATCTCAGTGAGCAGTGATTATCTATGAGGTCTGGGTAATACAAAACTTTAACAGCTTCAGCAAAAAAAATTAGATTTTTGAAGGACATTAAACTTTCATCATGAGTCCCAGGTCTCTAATTTGACTAGCCCTCCCTGATGTTGACACTACCTGAAGTAGATTTAAAAAGTCAATTATGTCCAGCTTTAAAGCTCTTATTTATTTCTAGTTTGGGAGCAGAGTAACCTTCACGTGAATGTGGAAAAACTTGGGATATAGTTCATTAAGCTTTCATACCTTCATGGAAGCCCTGGAAGTTTCAGGAATGCCATTTTCATATTTTCCTGTGATGATGCCGCACGCCAGCGGGGACCACGTCATCGCCCCGACTCCTGTCACCATGGAGAAAACCTCTATTAGTGATGCCGTCATTTTAAGTTACGTTGCTGTCGCTGCAGTTCCAGGTGTTGAAACGCAGGGTAACAAACTATTTTTTCTTATAGTTAGAGCAGGCTTAGGCTTGCCTCAAACATTATCCTGGACGCTTTTATTATATACATTCCCATGATCGTTATTTACCGTATAATTTGGATTGTCTACGTTGTAATTGTATTATATTATTTTGTGTCTGTCATTCATGTTTTGTTCATCTGTGCAGTCTGTAAAGCCCCCTCAGATAGATGTGTAATTTGTGATATTGTGCTATATAAATAAAACTTGAATAGATATGATTATACACACACACAGAATACTTGCCTATCTTGTGGTAAAGTTCAGGCAGTTGCACTTCTACCTTCTCCCTCTGGAAGAGATGATACTCTGCCTGCTCACACACCGGAGGGATCAGATTAAACTGTCGTGCCACCGAATACGCCTCCTACAGATTAAAAGAGGGAGAGATTTAATGAAAAGTACATTCTCACTGCAGAATTACACTGTTACGTAAACATTATGCCAATGCTTTTTTTCTACAGCGACTTACAATAAGTGCATTCAATCAAGAAGAAAAAGCAAGAATCCTGCGGGTACATAGCTTTCAATTAGCCAAACCATTGTTAGTGCTACTTTTCAAAGTGCTACATACAGAAAAATATCGCTTGGATAAAAGCGTCAGCCAAATGAAATGTAATGTAATATAATAATATTAATGTTTGCATTTAACCTTGCTGGTCTGAAGCATTTGCAAAAATCAGATACTAGGCGCAGACAATTACTTTAAGAGGTCCTATATTGGCTAGCGCTCCAACACATTGTACGTGATAGGCTAAAGGGCGGGACATCTCTAAGCGGTTGACCAATCACAACAGAGCCGGCCAGCTGACCAATCAGAGCAGACTGGGCTCTGGTTTCAGACAGAGGGTGAAAAGAGGTGCTGCAGCACAGGCAGTATGAGAAAAATAAAGAGCTTTTTGAACATTAAAGCATGGAGACATGTCACAGAAGAAATACAACATGTGAATAGTATGGGCTCTTTAATACTAAATACTTGTAATGGAAAGTAATCAGGTTACATTACTTTGATATTGTGATACTCAGATTAGGTTACTGGTTCTTTTTTTCCCCAGGTAACTAGTAATTGTATCAAAATACATTTGAGAGTGTTGGGTTAAACTCAGGGAAGAGATTAGGAAAGTGTTAATCAGCTTTTAGGAGCTTCGCATGGCACAAATTCAAATGCAGGGCTCACAGTAAGTAACCCAATCAATATTCCATATCACAGCTCTCCGAGGCATCATATTCAAATGTCCCTCTATAACATCTTATCTGCATTAGCATGTGTCCTTCAGGAGGAAACGCACATGAAGATGTCAACATTTCCCACACTCTTAGTTTGGAGGTGAAACACATCAGGGGAATATATTTAGCGCGACGCGAGGATAATGTGGGTGCAATCAGTCCACTTACAAATTACATGTTTCCCCTTGTTAAGGCTGTGTGTGTGTGTGTGTGTGTGTGTGTGTGTGTGTGTGTGTGTGTGTGTGTGTGTGTGTCTGTGTGTGTGTCTGTGTGTTCTGTACTGCTGCCTTGTCATGTACACTGAGGATCCGTGTTTACCCCCCGTCATTATTGATGCTATCTAAATTACACAGCTTTCATCTGGGCTCGTGTTCTACAAAGAGATCTGCTCCCTTTTTGTATCCGTGATCACAGAGAGAGGATGTCAACACATGGAGGGGGAGGAAGAGATCAGAGCGAGAGAGAAATCAGAGAGGAGAGAATGGGTGTTCGGGCCTTGAGTGTCACTTCAGGCACGAGTGCATTTCATAACTCTGCTGAGGCGTCATGTTTCTGTATTTGTTACTTGTTTCGAGAGTTGAAACAGGAGGTAGATTGTTTCTGACAGGAAGAAGAAACAAAGATGGATAACACCACCGGGCCGAGAATAACACGTTTGCTTTCCTCAAACCTTCACGCAGACCGATTTTCCATTTTCCTAGAGATTGAAGAGAAGGATTTAACTAGTCTCCTTTTAAAGGATCCACATTCTGCTCATTTCACATTCATATCAGTATTCTGTGTCTCTACTGTGACATGTCTCCATGCTTTAATGTTCAAAAAGCTCTCTATTTGTCTCATACTGCCTGTGCTGCAGCACCTCTTTTCACCCTCTGTCTGAAACCAGAGCCCCGTCTGCTCTGATTGATGAGCTGGCTGGCTCTGTTGTGATTGGCCAACCGTTTAGAGATGTCCCGCCCCTTAGCCTATCACGTACAATGTGTTGGAGCTCGAGCAGGGACGCGGGAAGTCAGTCAGAGTTGGGGGTGCGGCGTGCGGGTGCGGTGGGGGAGGGGGGGGGTGCTAGTGGAGCCTTGCAGCAGCGAAACTGTGGCGCGCGAAACTGTAGGTGCGCCGCGTTTGCGCTTCAGAGGAGGCTCCCTCCGCAAAATGAGGCTCCATCGCGAGGGGTCTGCGTGATCTGCGTGTAGGGAGGGGCGGCCCTTTATAATAACGTCATATTAAATGCAGTAATTTGGTCTTTAGCAACAGCTTGTGAGAGCAGTGCATTCATCGGTGTTCGTTTTAAAGCTGCCAGTTTGTTGACGGCCTGTGTGTTGATGGGACTTCTCATGCTCCCTAAATGTTTCCCCTGCCTTTCGCCAGTTGTTAAACCCTCCTTTCACAAAACTCCCATCCCTGATTTTGTCTGCAGTGACGAGCTTCTTTTCTATTGCAGAGCAACAGAAGAAGCACACCGCATTATCACTTTCTCTTATATAGTGAAGCTTTTTATAGACTGCTTACACTAAAATGCTAACTCAAAAATAGTAACTCAAAATAAAACTTTTGTATTGATTTGTTTAGTGAACTTTTTGGCGTTGCGGTTACAACTCTCCGCCAACAGATGGGGGTGCTGCAGCCCCCTCAGCACCCCCCCCTTCCCGCGTCCCTGAGCTCGAGCCAATAGAAGCACGAGTGTTACACAGTGATGTATGAGTGTAGCTCTGTGCTGCTCACCATGATCTCCATGGCCGTCCACCGAGACGTCCCCCAGTACATCGCCATGCCCTGGTTGATCACGTAAGTCATGGCCCGGACAATCTCTGCAGAGATACACACAGCAGTCAGTGACAATTTTATACAATATGATAATACTTTATTGTCAGATTCATTCTGAAATGTTTCTTGCATCACAGCAGCTCCATTTGCAACATCAACAAGGGACAAATAATTAGACAAGAAACAAGGAAACACGTTGAACATACTATAACCATCACTGAAGGCAATATGTTCAACACACTCTAACTTACATTTGACCTGGGAATGAAACTCTGTATTTAATTTAAGGATTGACTGGTGCACCAAAGAGTGCTTCAGTCTTATCTTATCAAATCGTGGGACCCTGTACCTTGGATTTGATGGAAACAATTCATATTCACTGTTCAGGACATAGTTAGGGTCAGAGATAATGATAATGTGTTGTTGTCGAAAACCATATCATTAGGAATCAATTTAAAAATGTTTTGCACTTAAAACATGTATTTGTCTGGGATTGTGGATCTATATTCAAAATAAGATATATTTAAGTAGTTTATTATGTATGTATACCCGTATATATGCATACCTAACCCTAACGCTAGGAAAGGTGGTAGTAGAAACCGTAATGTGTGTTTTGAAATAACAATGGACAAAAAATTCGTATGTATATTTGACGGATCACAAAATAAGTTTTCAAACTTTCCAAAAATATAACTCATAACTAGAAGTCTAATATACAGTATGAGCAAACAAACTCCTTCATCTTGTCTAAGTTCTGTAACGCACAGATGAAGTTAAATAAAACCTGCTGTCCTGCTGACGGCTCATCAGCGACACTTAGAACTCCAGCAAACACTAACAAGCTCTCACTCTGAAGCCCCTCAGATCCCACTCAGCCCGCTGCATTTTTAATGACGCAATTAGCTCCGACACTGCTGACTGTGCGCCAACAGCAGTCAGGGCCAACAAAAACTGGATTAGGACTGTCATTAAGGTTATTCATCATCGCCCGGCACTCTCTCCAATTACACCGCCATCCTTCACCGAGGCAGCGCTCTCTTATTTCACTAACCGGCTCCTGGCAGGAAGACAGACTTTGAGGGAATACAAGGTCAGAGAAACAATACAAATGTTTTCCCCTTTAAAATGTTAGAGGCGAAGGACAACCTGTAACACAGATGCCTCACTAAATACCATCCTGCCGAGGGAAATAACACAGCATTAAGCAGAGATACATCCCTCTCTCTGCTCGGCTGTCTTCCAGATACTCCACTCAAATTTAAATGCTACTTGCCAGAATTCATGGCCGATAAAACAAGAGAGAAAATAAAACCGAGTGTAAAACAACCAGACTTTAGGGGTGACGGATTACAAGTACCCAGAGTTACGTAATCAGGATACAAACATAGGTATCTGTATTCCCTTACAATTAGACTTTAAAAGTCAGATTACTGTTACATAATATATTTTTTAGGATTACAAACAGGATTAAAATGTTAGTAAAACTGAAAAGAGCAAGTTGTGTTTGTTGTAAGAGGATCAGATTTTGATTGGCAGACTCACCCTCCATGGGAGTATTACTGTCTGGGCGGTTGGCAAAAACTACATCCACGTACTCCAACTGCATCCTCTGTAGAGAGCCCTGCAGACCTGAGACACACAGGGGGAGAAAGAAAATACAAAATATAGAGGTATACAGTAAATAATAAAGATAATAAGGCGCAGTGCGGTGTAGGAAACGACATTTATTTAACGTTTGTTGGATTTGAACAATTCCAAAGATTTTATTTTGTAAATCTTTGCTTTTGTCTGTGCGTGTGTGTGTGTGTGTGTGTGTGTGTGTGTGTGTGTGTGTGTGTGTGTGTGTGTGTGTGTGTGTGTGTGTGTGTGTGTGTGTGTGTGTGTGTGTGTGTGTGTGTGTGTGTCTTACCTTCAATAATGTGTTTCCGGGACAGCCCTCTCTCTGTCTCTGCTCTGATGGGACAAAAACAAACCAACAGTAAGCTTCACTGTAAAAAACGTTTGATTCTTTAAATGTATTTATAATTATTATCATGATTTTTCTTTTAAAATGTAGGTCTCGTGTCATTGTTGCAAAGTATCCTACGTGTAAATAAATGAATAGACTGTAGGAGTCTTTTATTCTTCACAATACATGCTGCTATGTTTAAACTAGAAAAAAAGAAGCTTCTATACTATTTAAACTTTCTGCTACTAAATCAACTTTCAAACATCAGTCATACCTATATCTCTTTAAGCAGAATGAAAGTCATTGTAAGACACTTTTTGACCCCAGCTGGAGGGCCTGACATGAGAATGTGCATATCAAGCTTATATTATGTAAATGGTTCAGAGCACTTTAACCGTTACGCTTCAAAACTCTGGAGGAGGAGGAGAGAATCTTCCTCACAGGGATGAAGGTATAACTTCAGCCTTATCACCAGAGCCAGCTGCACAGGCTCCACCAAGGAGTGTGTGTGTGTGTGTGTGTGTGTGTGTGTGTGTGTGTGTGTGTGTGTGTGTGTGTGTGTGTGTGTGTGTGTCCTTTTGTATTGTAATGGTTACTGTACGTGATGTTGCTCGAAATAGAAAATGCTGAATGTTATAGAATAACAGAATATATAAATGGTGGCCGTTTATCCAGGGTAATAGTTCTTAGTACACTTAGTCTGCAAGGAGATTTCTTTCTGACTCATATCCAAAAGATCAAAAAGTCTTGAGGCATTCAAATAATTCACAGCGTCCAAATCGACATTGCATCCAGAGTCCACTACCGACTTGGTGAACATAATAATGATGTTAACATGTTATCCCGCTGACACAGTCAAACACTTTTATCAATGTACGCTTGAGTTTTCCCATACAAAATGATGCCCAAGTGGCTCTAAGTGGATGGACCTTTTTTTATTCAATTATTATTTTAATCGTATTTGTGAATGTTTTGATTAGTTTGTGACTGAGTTGTCTTAAATATGTAATTGGTTCTCAGGTCTCTCTTGTGTTTCAGATCTTGATCTCAATGAGACCTCCTCAAACAATCATACAAACAAACGGTCAATGTGCAAGAGAAACCAGAACATGTAATTTCTACAGTCTTCAGGTATCTAAATGACAGCTCAGAGAGTTTCTGACTTACTTTCCTCCCCAGTAGAGTTTAGTCGTGATGACCAAGCTGGATCGCCTGAGAGAGTGCGGAGACGGATACAGAAAGACAGAAGAAGAGAAGCAGCAGAATGAGTGATACATCAAGCATTGTGCTTACTCAGTGTAATCTTATATCGTCCTTGCCAGCACATCTTATGTGTTAACCTCCTGCAGTGCTGATCCTGCTCTCTGCTGAGTTTAGTTAAAACCAAAATCAGCTGTTCCCACGTTGTCAATGAGGTGAATGAATTTGAAGTCTAAAGCAAGAAGCCAGAAGGGGAGACAAAGATTCACAGTGTAGACATTTATAAGAGTTGACCTGAGACTCAATGTAATTAATCTGTAAGTGTGCTATTAAAGGTAGGGTAGGTAAGAATGGAGAAACCAGCTCGAGTGCGCTAGAATTTGAAAGTACGCAGCCGAAAAAATCTGCCCCTTCCTTCAGACTTCCTTACAGAGGCCCTCCTCCAACACACACGAACGCGCACATGACCAATGAGGGCACGAGATAAGTTTGTGCATGAGATGGAAGGCTGACAGGCAGGTAGGCCATCCAGTTATTTTAGCCGGGCCGGCTCAGATGATTGGTCGTGCTTTTTACAGTTCTACGGCTTACACAGATGACATTTTTTAATGTATTTATTGTCGAAGCATTTAATGTATTCATTGCTATCAGGATGTTAAGAGCATTCCATGGAATATAACAAAAAGTGTTTCTGAAGTGAATTACCTACCCCACCTTTAAGCCAGGGAATGTTAGCCATTTAGCTAACTAGCGAACGTTAGCTATCTATGTAACAATCTGGCTGGTGAATGCTATCTATCTATCTATCTATCTATCTTTCTAACTGGCCAGCAAAGCTAACGTTTGTTATCTTCCTAAATAGTTAGCTAGGTTACATTAGCTATCCATCGAACAAGCTAGCTAGCGAATGTCTGTTATAGCTCAATGTACCATTATCTCTCGTAATTTAAATTATAATTATTTTTTAACACCCTATGGTTGGACTTGCTGTGTCTACAGTTTAGGCGGTGAGAGTCGTTCTAAAAACATTTTATAATTGACATGTGCTTTGTTTAAGCCGACCAGCCGCTCTTTAGCAACTCCAAACAGCTGTAAACATTGGAGTTAATTCTCAAATATGCGTTATTTGAATAAACTATTCACATATTTTGTAATCTAAATGGTTAGTTTCTTGCCAGAAGAAGTGTTAACACTTGTTCAAAGTTTCTTTGGCAAGTAATAGCACTTGCATTCTAACTGTAATATCAACACGTAACAAAGCAATGGGGAAGCGCCATAGAGCCAGCGCAGCATAAGATGAATCAGACTAAGAAGTGTGAAAGCAGCTGCTTCACACGGACATGCTGAGGATTCATTAAGATCTTCCTATTTCTATGAGTTACTTCCTTTGATGTTACTGTAAGTCTGTCTTCCTCGTTTCCTACTGAGTCGATCAATAACAAAAAAGAAAGACTGAGCATGTTTAAATAACTCCATAAAAGGAATATTTGAGATTGAGGTTGAAACTGAAAATGCCTACAGACATATTTGTATACTTTTTAATGCTGCTGTACTGTGATGCAATATGTCTGTGTGTGTAGAAATACACAATTACTGTAAATACAGAATGCAGTCTTTTAAAGAAATGAAAATAAAACTCAAACAATTTTTTCGTTGCCTCCACCATCTGACACATCGTCCTTGTCCATATATGAAAATAATTTAATATTTCTCTCTCACAACTAGAGTGATGAAGCCATTACACACATTTATGTCGTCATTACCTCCAGCATTTCTTCTTGAGGATGTTTCCTAGTATGACTTCGGCCCTGCAAGGCAACATAAATGATGTGGCGTTATTAAAATGTAGTCGTAGATACACTCCATCCACAATATCGACCATGCAATTCATCGCTTTCAAACTAAACAACCCCCTGTGCATTATAAAAATATGACAAACCATTTTGTCCATAAATAGACAAATATATGGTGCATTAAAAGAAACATTTTTATCAAAAGTGCAGCATTTGTTTCACAGATTTGTCTTCTTTTTGATGTATTTTCGTAAAGCTGAAGCACTCCTGATGATACATTTTAGAAACATCGAAACTCCACTGACACTACAATTAAAGTTTTGTTTTAACAAAATATCTACGCCGGGATCCTGAGTCGTGGCTGATCCTGTTGCTGTGGTCCTGAGTCCTGGATCCTGTGTCCTGGATCCTCTATCCTGAGTTCTGGATTTGAGTCCTGGACTTCGAGTCGTGGCTGAACCTGTCTCTGCGGTCCTGCCTGACTCTCATCATACTACTTCCCTGATGGCTCCCACAGGATTGTTGACATCCTCGTGGATTCATCTTCTTATTATAGACACATGCATTTCCAAACATTTGGTCTACCTATGCTGTAAAATGTATTATCTCTTCGATTTACACACGGCATCTATTGCACGTCTGTCCGTCCTGGGAGAGGGATCCCTCCTCTGTTGCTCTCCCTGAGGTTTCTCCCATGTTTCCCTTTAAACTGTGGGGTTTCTCTCTGGAAGTGTTTCCTTGTACGATGTGAGGGTCTAAGGACAGAGGGTGTCGTATTGTCATACTGATATTCTGTACAAACTGTGAAGTCCACTGAGACAAATGTAACATTTGTGATATTGGGCTATATAAATAAACATTGATTGATTGATTTTGTCACTGTGCTTTTTATAAATGTATTCTTTTGAATGCTTAGAAAATAATGAAAAAACCGTCTCATTTGTCCTGACAGAGGCAGGAAAGGTGTTTTGCAGGTTTATCCTCATGTTTGCATCAGACTCAGTCATGAGACTTCAATAAATAAAACATAATAAATATCTGATTCTGCTAATTAGTTTCAAACGTAAGCCTTGCAGAGCTGCAATGCACTTTGTTCTTACATACAAATCTAAATACATTCCTTCAATCATACAGATGAATTTAACATTTGGTATTATAATTTTGTATCATATTCAAATAATATCCAAAGGCACAGGCTCAGGTTTCTTCAAGCAAAGAGCCAAAATATTCAAATCTAATTACTCCACATAAAACCAGCTGTGATCCTCTATTAAGTTATTTATCTATCCAGACAAAGTATATAGGGCAGGGCATGTGAAAATACTTGTTGTAGAGTCATGAATAACAGCATATTGCATAACACTCCAGACCTGCTGGCTGTTTTTCGGTATAAATGAGTAAAACAAATGATATTCTCTGCACGTATGAAAGCTTCCAGCTAAACATAAATAAAAAACCTTGCTGAAGCTACACACTTCTGCACCTGATCACAGCCAAAGGTCGTTAGAGGCAGCGGTGGAAGAAGTACATATTTCACTAAATTACAAGTAACACTGCTGCTTTTATAATAAAGTACAAAAGTGTTGGCATCAAAATATACTTAAAGTACCAAAAGTAAAATGACTCTTTATGTGTAAAGGCCCATTTCAGAAAGAAAAATATATGAAAAATGTGTGCATTAATGTGTTCATCTCAGCTGGTAAAGATGGAACTACTTTTAATGACTTTGCTTGATATCTGATATGTCAATGTTTATTTATTATTTGATTTATATTTTGTATTAGTTAATCATCTGAATCTGTAAACGCTGTCAGATTAATTTAGTGAAGTAAAATGTGCATGATAGGCTTCCAAAATGTAGTGGATTAGACGTATAAAGTCGCATAACATCAAAATACTGAAGTAGAAGTACCTCAAAATGAGTAAATGCACTTTCCAACAGGGTTTTGAGGCGAGTTCACGTACCTGCCGCCTGCGTACACCTCAGCCGTGTCGAACAGGTTGACTCCGCTCTCGTAGGCGATGGTCATCAGCTGCTCTGCAACCTGCATGAGGAAAACATCCATTAAAGAGCTGTAGCATTGTTGCATATTAATATCTTAAGTATAAATATGTATGTCTTTCCACAGCTTGAGTGTCCAAGGTTTACAAAAAGGTGGCACACCATTAAACCAAAGCAGCTTCATATTTTATTCAAATGTCGTTGCTAAACATTTCAGCCTGAGGCCTCCCTCAAGCGTGAATATTGCTCAACTGTAAATCACATATAAACACACAAGAGCATCAACGCAGTGACTTTATTCAATACAGCAGACCTCACCAACTCTCAAATGCAAAAAAAGTATACATTTGACAGAGGCCAGAGAGATCTCATAATGCATAACCAGGAATACAAACACTGCATCATTCATCAACAAATGAATAAAACACAATTTTTTAAAAATGATTTCAAAACTAGGATTAGGAGTGTTGTGTCCTCTTTAACTAATACTTGTATCATTTCTGGAAATCTCAAGAAAAAGATTGGAGATGGGAGCCAATGATTTTGGGTGTTTACTTGCAAGAAAAAGGCACATCATCCAATACTATCTCGTTACTGTATATACAGTAGTAGAGTATAGAATGTGAATATATGTCTTATATCTTGTATTGAGTGGTATAGACATTGTGCAGATTTCAGTTTAGCGCTTACTTGATAACAGTTTCTTTGGCAAGTAAAGGTTGATAAAGCTTGTGATGCTTTGCAAAGTAATAGCAACTATACACTCTTACAGGAAGTACCACAGACAATGTGGAAACCCATTAGAGCAGGCGAAGCATGAGCAGTGCTGAAGTCATGTCAGATGTCAAAATCAAACAGACATGAGAACAAAGGCTGCACAACAGTGTCCAGTTTCAAATGTGCTGTATGTGTGAGAACACTGCAGCATCGCACTCAACTCGGATCCTCAAACTGAGCTTGTACTGTAAATCTGTTGAAGTGCAGACTCTTTTAGAAAGTGGGATCACATTTAGCCAATGTGTCTGTGAAAATCACTCCATGGCTATGGTGTCCAGTCACTCCATGGCTATGGTGTCCAGTCACTCCATGGCTATAGTGTCCAGTCACTCCATGGCTATGGTGTCCAGCCATTCCTCTGTAGTGAATGTGTGTGAGTGTGTGTGGCATATGTGCAGATATCCCTCCACATTTTTGCAGCCTATAAATCATCAGACCGAGATCCAATTTCCCTGTGGGGAGTTTCATAACACTGGAACTTTAAGTGAATTCCCTGTAATCTCTCTGTGGATTTATGCTCATGTGTGCATGAAATCTGTTTGTCTGCCTCTGTGTGGGAGCCTGGAAGTGAATGTGCTGTGCGTGCGTGCGTGCGTGCGTGCGTGCGTGCGTGCGTGCGTGCGTGCGTGCGTGCGTGCGTGCGTGCGTGCGTGCGTGCGTGCTTTTGTGAAAGGCTGCAGACAGCAGAGGTGTTGTTTCTAGAAAAAGTTGATTGTCTCTCCTCTGAGAATCTGTCTCTCTCTGCAAACAGCACAGCAGTCCAATCTGATAATGATACAATAATAATAAACTTTATTTAATCAGATACTATAAAAACAGTGCTTTGATGGACTAAATTAAATTAATGATTAAAGCAAGACAATAAAAATGCATATAATGAGAATGTAAATCAATGTAACGAGAAAGGCAGAGATATGTGATATAAAAAGTAATAAATGATAATAAAAGAGATTCAAAGAGCTTCCGAAATAAAAGAGCAAACAGATGAAGAGTGAATAAAAATGGGTGTTAAAAAGTGATTTAAAAACGGTGTAGCTGGAACAGTGCTCCCATGTCGAGGCTGTAAATGAAAACTAATGATACATGACATTAAAATGTTTCACGGCTTAGTATAACGAGGAGTGTCTGCAGTATATCTCTGAATGCATTCATAATTAAGAACTGAATCATTATCAGACGCAAACCCAATGATCTCAGAGAAGAGAGGAAAGGCTCATTTAGGCATTACGAATAAAAACACAAAGCTGGATAAAGGAAAAGATAAGGAAGGAGAAGAGAAGAGAAAAAGGTGGTGGTATAATATGAACAGTGTGCTTTCAATAACTGGTCTACACAGAAACCAATCTCTGGAGAGGGAGTTTTAATAAAGTGCAAGGAGAGTTTTTGCAAAGGCAAGAAAATAGACGGAGGAGGAAGAAAAAGTTGGATGTGGATGAGAAAAGTGAGCAAGTGGTCGATGGATGAGTTAAATGAAAAGCAGAATTTAAGGACAGTAGTAAGAACCGTTTGCAGGAAAGGTGGTGTAAGGTGAGGGACATGATGATGAAAGCTTTATGAAGACGAATGAGGAGACAAATAAGAGGAGATAGTGAGAGACGGAGAGCCAAGGCGAGGGTGATGGTGTCCCTTTGAAAAGGCTGACTGTTGGGCATTTACTGATTGCTCATTCAAAACGAGTCTCGGATGCTACTAAAAGGTCAAGGGAGTTCTTATAGTCACATTCACAAGGTCAGGAAGTTTGTGTTGATAATGAAGCATCACTGCTGCTGCTTCACTGTCTCAGAGTCATTTTGGACTAACAAAATGTGAATAGTCTTAAAAGGTGAGGTATTTTTTGTAAAGGGTAGAGACACACTACCAGTCATGAGACAATCGTTAATACATAAACACATGCATTTATAATCTCAGTGTAGAAGAGGCCCTGAAGTTAGTGCACTGAATTGAGTCTCTGAGTTGCTTGCGATGCTGCAGTGTTCTCACACACGAGATACAGCATTTTTTAAACTGGACAGTGTAGTGCAGCCTTTGTTCTCATCTCTCTTTGATTTTGACATCCGACATGACTCTTGCTCTGCGGTTTGTATTCACCTTATGCTTCGCCCGCTCAAGGGCACTTCGACATTGCCTTATTTTGTGCTGGTACGTCAAATTCGCTATTACTTTGCACGGTCTCGTTAGCTTTATTAACCTTTACTTGCTAAAGAAACAATTATTCAGCTTTTAAATAAAACATTTGTTACGTTTTAACACTTTTTCAGGCTAGAAACTAACCATTTGGATTACCAATATGGGATAATTGTTCCATATAACCACACAATGCTGTTGGGTTAAAAAGCACCCTGGTGTCCTGAATGTCCCCTGTTCAATGTCATTGTTATCAAAAGCACACTAGTTAGACTACATGTCCTCTGCAGAGTTCAGCGTCCCTGTCCTAATTAAAAACTAAAACACAAACGGGCACACAACCACTCTTACAGCACTCTACACTGACTTGAACAAACACACAAGCAAACGGTAAACACATGCCATCTCTTTCTTAATTTGTAGCATTTTGACTTTTTTTTTATATATAAACATATACATTTTAACTAATGGATTCATAATATGAGCCAGTACAACACTTCAAATGGACAGTCACACAGTCTGAATGCTCTGCAGCTGAAGACACTGAAGATAGCAGCCATCTTCAAGCACCTCAAAAGCTCATTAATTAAAATGTCATATCTGTTCGCACGCCAAAGATGATACGTTTACGGTAAAGGGCAGAATGTTCTGTAACTTGGCGACCAGCCGCTGGGTTCAGTTACTTTTTGTCTCAATGTCATTGTGATGGTACTAGACGACTCCAGTAGATTCCAGGAAATAGCCGCACCCAATTAGTGGGCCTAACATTTTCTGTGCTGTGGATTTATATATGCACAGAGTTAGCTGTTTCCCGCTACGTCCAGCGTTTATGCTAAGCTAATCCAATCACCTGCAGTTTATAGCTTCATGTTTGCCGTGCAGAGTGAGTTATACAGGGTCCATCTACTCATCTGTGTCTCAGCAGTCACATAAATAGGCATTCCCAAGGTTATCCCCAATTGTGTCTACATTTAAAAGCCATTACAATCAACTAAAAGTGAAGTTAAAGCAGAAATCTCTACTGCCACTTAGATAATACACTTACTAAGATGTGTGTATGCATCTGCCTCTAACAAAACCCTTCAAGTATACCTCATCAAAGTGACTAAGTTTGTTTCTCCGCTGTCCTGTCTGGGCAGCAACACATTTCCAGACAGAGCGCTCAGAAGAGTGATGGTGGGCTGCGAGTTAACGGTGCTTACTCATTCAAAAAGGCCAAAAGTGGATCCATAAATCATAAAGTGGATTTGAAGAAAGTGTGTTGATTTTTAACTTTGAAGTAGAAAGTGTGGGGGGGAGGAGGCAGCGCGGGCGTGAAATCATCTCAGGGCTGAGTGGGAGTGTGTGGGAGGATAACCATGGCCTTGATTCTGGGGATGTGAGATTGAAGACATGTCTTTGCTATGTATGGAAACCAAATTCTCCTGTACCTGTAGTGCCAAAAAAAAGAGAAGCCTGAGGCGTAGCCACTCATGTATTTCTGCAGCATAACAGTGACTCAGTGTTTTTCTGAAGGTGAGTGTAGTGGAGATATAAGGATAAGCTCAGTCTGGGCGCTACTTCTGTATTCATCACTGTGTTCACACCGGTGTGTCGGCCAGAACTCCACTTAAGGCCAAATATCCAGAGCATGAAATGAAGAGCTGAGGTGATTGATATTCCCTTTCCTGTCTTCTCTTTGCAGTGATACACATTGTGTGTGTGTGTGTGTGGTTTTCCTATAATGAGAAACAATACAAAAAGACAGATGACTAAAGGATAACATACTGTATCACATCTTTTTGAACAGTTTGCGGTTAGAAGCCTGAAGTAAGGTCTGTGGTTAACACAAGCTGAAGAGATTTTCACGTTTTGTTCTACGACATCAAATATGTCAGTAGCGGCCTTTAGCTTAGCGGTGGTGAAGTCATGTGACCGTACTGTAGTTCCTTAATGGCTTAACGTCACCTTGTTACATCTGGAGATTGCATTGACGCTTCAAAAATCATAAAGTGGTGTTAAAGGTGGGGAAGGTAATTTTGGAGAAACCAGCTCGAGTGCGCTAGAATTTGAAAATACACAGCCGGAACAAATCTGCCCCTTCCTTACAGAGCCCCTCCTCCAACACACACGAACGCGCACATGACCAATGAGGGCACGAGA